AAAATTTAAATTTTTTCACTTCAAAATCCAAACAGAGTTGGATACAGGTTTCTTCTGGCAAAAGGTTGTATCAGAATACTATCTAACAGCAAAGGAAAAATAAACTTAGTAGCCTAACAGTAACAAGCTTCATCTAAGAGAAGCACTTTTTGTTGCCCTTTCTCTAAAACGTTAATTGTGAAATGGGTGCACAAAATATGCCGACCATGAATACATAAAGCCGCACTGTTGTCAAAATGTTGGGACTCCAAAAATGCTTTAAAATCCACAGGGCTCTTGAGAGAGCTCTCGCCTCGTAGACCTAGCAATTTGATTTTTGCGCACTACCATCTAGAAGGGAATGATTTCCAGGTGCAAACAGAAATTCTAAACGGATTTTTATTCATGAGAGCAGAGCTTACCAGAGGCTTCTCCCAGCATAATTCCGAACCAAATGTATAAACGAATTTTCAAGAAATACAGCTGAATAAAAAGCATCCATATTTAAAAAAAACTATTGAAATCCGTTAACAAGAAACAAGAAAGGAAACAAACACTGAGATCATCAGAAGAATATAATACAACATCTAAAAACCAAAAATGAACTGGTCAAAACCGACCTACCCGGTAAAAGTAACACCCAATGCGCGCTCAAACATCAAAATCGTCGTCGGCTGATCTTTTCAGTATATTGGTGACGTGCTCAGGACGCAGTTGTTGAAGACTATCATCCACATAGGCCGATGAAGCAGGTGGTTGACCCACAGTTAGTGATGTGTTGTTCGATAACAGATCTGCGGTAGACCGATCAGAACCGCGCCATTCGACATTCGGCTGCAGAAGACAAAACCTGGAATAAAAGAAAACAGTATCGCTCCACTCTTTCCTATGGAGATGTCATAATAATCCACTGAATGAATGCAAAAATCTGACCGGTCATTAGGAAGCTTCAGGCCGAAATTATGGCGAATCTGCGGCAGCGGTTGTGAATTTCGCTCGGCGGCTATTTTGAGAACATAATCTCTGCTAGTGTTGCCATCGTTCAGAAAACCTGTAATACCTAACTAAAGAATCAGATATGCTGAACTCATTTGAGGTTGAAGCAGTTTATGATGTAACCACGTTCCCACACTCCCTCTCGCTTCGAAACTTAAAATGGCGAAATTGGAAGTTGACATTACCCATAATCCAGAAAACACATTATGCTCTCATGGCGGCACAAGGACGGTTTGTTGAAGCACAAACAATGTCAAAACCATAGAATAACGATTCAAAGTGGAGAAGATCTAGTAATATGCTCCCAACAATTTATTACGTTAAGTGAGGTAATATGTGTTGATGAGCAAAATAGTGACAAGCCCGCAGCTGGGACCTATTCCATTTTCCTGCCCTTTTCGTTCCTTCTCTACCAGTACTTCAGTACTTACATCTAACGACTCTCCAAAATCTTCCGAAAAATTCGCTCCAGAGATTATACGCTGACATTGATCTACACTCTCTCCGCAACAGTGAAAATTCTTTAAATTCTTCGATAAAAACCTCACCTATTTCTTAAAAATCTCTGAAAATCTCAGTTTTCACCTCAAAGTAGGAGAGCTTTCAGCGAACCTAATGCGTCTTTACCCATTCCTGTATAGAATTCTTGTCCAGTGGCGCCATATCTGATACATATAAAAACCCTCTTGACACCTACACCACTTTTGATTCTGAAAGTACTCTTGGAAATTCTATGCAATAAAAAGAGGAAAGTGGCGAAAACGCAGGTCCTTAAATCCTCCAGAGTCCAGAACAACTGGCAAGCAACCTTCAAGCCTACGTAAAATAAGCGCATAAAGTGAAAGAGATTTGAGAATATCGACACGGCAGCACCTACGCTATGACATCCTCTACGGCTAAGTCTAGGAGGAAGCAGGCCCATATTTAGCCCCATTTTTAACAACTAGTGGTTCCAAACGATGGCCATTACAATGACCCTTTATCCTGTGATGACGCCAAATAACTTAAAGAAAACAAACAAACAAAGAATAAGGAATCAATGGTCGCAAACCAGACAAAAAATGTACCCAAAAAAGTGAAAAACCCACCACTAAAGTCCACAGCTATTTGAACATCTGGTTCATCTATCACCATTTTCCCACCAATGTTGCGATACAGCCTTTGCTTGAGTTAGCAAGCTAGAGGTTGTAGAATACAGTAACTGAAAACATTACTTCATTCAAAATACGGAATCGTTATTACAGCTTTTTGTGAGTTTCGAGATGTGGTTTGCGCCTGCCTCAAGAATGATCAACACTTCTGCTTTTGCTACTTCTACCGAGTTGCGAACAGAAAACGAGTAAATAGACGTGAACAAGATCGAGAACAATGTTACAGTTTTTCCAAACACCAAAGAACAACACCTGTGAATTGACCACGACCACTTAAAACTCCACGAAATCTGTTTGCGTGACTAGCTCCGATAGAAAGCAATCACGACAGAACTTTGGTTCAATTCAAATTGGGCTTACATCAAGGAGGAGGTGTACTACACGCGGATCGTAATCGGTTACTCCGGCCTCTTCCAAGATAGCTTTCACATGAGCTATATCACGGCTCGCTTCCATAGAGGTGCCATCACCACCGTCAGCATCATCTACATAACTGGAGGTATCACCACCTACACCAGATCCACCAGGTCCAGACATCGCCTTACACTGCTGAATCATGATCAGCTTTGAAGTTCCTTAGAATAGTTTCAGCAAATACATCTTTCATAAAAGCTTCAGGATAATAGAGGACGCCAACCCAACAAAATTGCACGATAGCAATAAGATCATTATTTATTGCATAATTACGATTAATCACTGTTGTTAAATACATGGCCAATGGAATGAAGACGTGAAGCAGAACGAACACAACAAATCAATCAGCATCAATATCAAAAAGTAATCGAACGAGTGAAAATTGGTGAGTGATAATGACGACAAAATCAATGAAGATGCCCATCTGAATGAGATTGAGGCACATTATTACTGGTCATAGAACAAAGTTTAATTGGAGTACATGAAGAAGTTAAGAGTTCATCACATTGCGCACAAAATCGGCAATATTCACATTGCCGTGAGAGTCGTTATGTCCCGCTAGAAGCTGATCGACTTCTTCATCAGTAAGTCGTTCACCTTAAAAAAACAAACTGTTAAAAATATCGGAATAATATCAAATAATAGCACACGTACCCAAAGTAGTAAGCAGATGGCGCAATTCCGCTACATTGATCAAACCATTGCCCTCTTTGTCGAAATGTGAAAGGCCTTCAACAAACTCTTCAACAGTGTGCTTTTCCCTGAAAACAGCACACTGAATCAAGGAGTAGGATATTGCAAATAGTAGAGGCAGGGTAGGAAAATCATCCCATCGATATCCCTTTAATAACTTTCTCCGCTGGATAAATAGGGAGGATTTGAATCGAGTCAAAAATGATGTAAGAGCAATCCAAAAGTAATGAAAAGCGGAAAATGCACGAAAAATAAAAAATATTCACTAAAAATATGGAGAGCAATCAATAGATTTTTTCTGGTGATAAGAAAGGACCATTTCTCGGACACCATTGTCTTCGTGAACAACTTTTCAAAGGGTCTCTCACGAAAGAGGTAACCGTTATGTTTCTAACTATATCATAATTCACAGCATGTTTTTTATATGTTTTGGCAGCAAATAATCTGTTAAACTGTTTAGCCAATTCGCGACCAGTGTCCTTCGGCAGCTGCGAAGTCGGTCACCGGTGGCTGACATTGTCGTGAATAGTTAAATGTAATGATACTGCATCAGATTGATGTCTTCTGCTAATCAGCTTAATTTTTTTTGCGGTATAAAGAATGCGCATACCTGTTGTACGCTTATCTTCTCATCTCCTCTACTATCAAAATAGCAGAAGACCTCGCGACAGTCAGCTAACTGATCATCCATTGCACTTACCATCGACTACAAGCAATATGGCAATTACTTTACCAGTGTTCATAAAAATGTAAGGTAATAAAGGACAGAGTAACACCAAAACCATACAACAAGGTAAACACAGATAAATATTCATCAAAATTTACAGACAGAATAATATACGGTCATTGTCAGCAACTTCAGAAAATTACAATGCAGTGATAAATATAGCATGAGTTCAAGCATATGACAACGCACGCAAACGGAGAATCGATCAAATTCCGACGAATCTGCGAACACTGTCGGCTGACTGACCGAGGTGTCGGGTTGGCGGCACGGACCACAGCGTGAGTCATCTGCACCCTCCCAGCTATACGC